GTACCTGTCTGAGCAAAGACTCCCAGGAGGTTGGCCAGGGCAGAGACCCAAAGCAGCAGCTTGTCCATGCTCGGCCTGGGGCTGTGCCAGCAGCAGAGTGACTGGGCTGAGGGTACAGAAGGCACCGTGCTTGTACCCCACCCCCCAGCTTCTGAGGCTCACCTCTTAGGCCTGAGGCTCCTCGGGGTTTATATGCGGCGGTAGGACGTAGGACGGGGCTTGGGGGATTTTCCAGCCTGTCCCCAGGATCAACAGTCAGAGCCCCTGATGGAAGGAGGGTTGGGCCCCTGCTGGGAAATCACCGGGGCTATTTATTAGGTACGGGGGCTGCTGGGGAGCCCCGCCCCCTGTGACCTGGTTCCTGGCAGGGAGGGGCGGGAGGTGGAGCCGGGGGCGGGAGGAGGGGCCCAGTCAGCCCATGGAGGTGGGGGGCTCACCCCTGTTCTCTTTAGGAGCCTCTGCTGAGACCTCCTGAGCTCTGGCCTCCCCGGCTTTGCGTGCGAGGCCTCTTTCCATACGTCTGTAAAGTGGACTTCTGTTTACCTGATATCCTGGGATCCTACTTTCTGCAGATCCAGAAGGGTCCCTTCACCTTTGATCAGTTCAATACTGAGCAACATGGTCTGTGCCCTCGGTCAGGGACAAGAGAACTGGAGGGTGCACTTTGTCTCCCCGAAGCTGACATTTTCATTATTACTTTCCTCTTAGTGTGGTGGTTGTTTCCTTCTGCTGGATTTTCTCATTGCTCTTTAGGACTGACTTTCCTGGCAATCTGTCCACTGTCTGCAGAGACGTTTGCACAGCCCTCCGTTTTCTTCCTCGAGTCCCTGGCATGGAGAGTGTATTTATGTTAAGTTTTGGTGAGAGCCTGATTCGTGAGTTACTTGCGTTTATTCATGAATTCCCACGCACGACACTAGGTGCTGGGGATTCAGTGGTGACCTACCGTGGCACAATGTCAGTGTGACCTCTGTCTCCATTCCCTCTGCTATTACTAAAAATGCCAAGAATTCTCTTAACCGTCATTCAGGTTATCTTCCTACGTCTCGGCATTTCCCACTCTCTGACTTTTCCTAGGCTAGATCCCAGGTTGTAAAGCCTTACCTGGCTTGTTGCATAGTAAGAGCCCCTGATGGAGTTGGGATTATACACCTTATTGCTTTCTTTTTTCTTTAATGTTTGCTTATTTTAGATGGGGGGGGGGAGGGAGGGAGAGCGCGCGCACAGGTTGGGGACAGAGGATCTGAAGCGGGCTCCATGGTGACAGCACAGAGCCTGATGTGGGGCTCGAACTCATGAACCGTGAGATCATGAGCTGAGCCGCCATCGGCCACTTAACCGGCTGAGCCACACCCAGGTGCCCCCACCTTGTGGCCTCTGAATTAACTGAATTAACAGGTCCTTCAGCTCGGAAGCCAGTGCCATCCACGTTCTGCTCCAACCTCCCCGTCAAATCCTCCCCTCCTCCCCTTGCTGTTTCTTGTGCTCGGCTCCCCTGACTGCATTCTTCCTGGTCCTTGCCTCCGTTCTGCCTTATCCGTCTGTTTTACACGATTCTGACATTCTCCACAATCTCAAAAGGCTGTCCTGATGTCTCAATTAGGCGTTATTTTCACCTTTGACTCCCATGAGGTGGAGATCGAAGACATGAATAGAATCTACTAGTGGTTGACTATTGGGAGTCACTAGGGCTCTGTGAGCCTTGGTTTCCTTTTCTGAAAAACACCTCCGTGTTTTTGTGAGGCTAAATGAGATAAAATAATATGCACAGAGTGCACAGCGGCGTCTGGAGGCTCTTATTTCCAGTCCTTTAATGGACATTACCGTTGTCTGTCTCCTATTACGGATAAAGAGTGTATTTACCTGTCATCCTCTCCTCATTGAAGCCGAGCACGAGGGCTTACTCATTTTTAGGGGACCCATTTGATTTAATTACTCTTGCACATGAAAAGAGCCTGGTGTATATTTGTGGCTTCAAAGGATTCAAACAGGGTGAGGGCTCTTTACGTGAAACAGCAGCAGTAAAAAGGAGAATCCAGTTGAGTGGTGGGAGCAGGTGATGCCAGAAGTAACCTCTACCAGGAGCCCCGGTGCCGTGTGGTTCCCCTTCCCCGATGCTCATGAGTCCCATAGAAGTTGAGAAGAACACAGGGCTCACCGACCTCTCCTAGTGTCCGTCATGAACGGTCATTCCATTCATCACAAGTGGCTTGGAGATCAATGTGGGAGAGAATCTTCTCTCTGGGGCATGACGGTGTGGAGCTGGCCTGGGGGGTGAGTGGTCCTGGGGAGGTCAGAGGTAATGGAGTTTATACTGCCGTTAGGGCCAAGTGCCGAGGTTATACACCATGTTCAGACACAGGCTGGCCCGGCTGGGAAAGGAGGTCTCCCAGTAAATGGGAAAAGGTGGGGGTGGGGAGGCCGAGTCTCTTTTTTGGTTTCCTTCTCTGGAATATGTTTCTTAGCCCTTGGCAGAGAAAAGTCGGAGCTTCAGGAGTCCTCAAATTGGACGTGGGATCCTTCCAGGTGCAGAGAGGAAGGCTCTGATGTCAGAATACAGGAAAACCGAATCCTGGGTCTTCAGAACTGGGTGGAGTTCTCCAAGTGAACCATCCCCGTGGTGGCCGAGAGGCTCCTGGTGCCTCCCTGCCAGCGGATGTTCAGGGCCGAGGTGGCGGTTCCCATCTGGGTGGCTCTGGAAGGGTTGAGGGTCGGGGAGGCAAGATGGCTCTATGTGGATGTTGAGTAGGAGTGGGGCCACCGATGTGCCTCAGGTCAGCTTTTTTGGTTACATCAGTTGGCAGGCAGTAAAGTTTGCCTAAGGGGGCACGGGGGGAAGAGGGCAGTGCCAGGAAAGGGCGTGGCATGAACTCAGAACTGGAGAAAGGCAGAGGTGTGAGAATGGAACACTGCCTGAAGGCTTGAAACCCTTTCCAAGGCTTTGGGTGTTAACAGAAGACCTTAGGTCACGGTAACCATTGGGACAGACCGGATAGGGAGAGACTGAAGCGGAACAGGAGCTAGACCAGCATTTTGGGGCTAATAAAGGATTATTTGCTATGTGTTCTGTTGGCTGTGAGGAAACCTAAAAGCATTTATTTGTAAGCAACGGAAAGACCATGGAGACATTAAGACGGAGCATTAGTCTCATAGGCGGTTGTGGAAGTCAAAGGCACGTAATCTTAGACTGATGGCAGCGTCTTATGGTAAGAGGAGAAGGACAAGGATTTTTTTTAAAGATTTTAATTTTTTAAGGAATCTCTATGCCCGACGTGGGGTTCGAACCCACAACCCAGGAGATCAAGAGTCGTACACTCCGCTGACCGTGCCAGCCAGGCACAGGTGAGGTTTTTTTTTTTTTTTTGACAGATACACAGAACGTGGAATCAGATTTTTCTCCAAAGTTAACGATTGTGTGTGGTTTGGGAAACTGTGGTGCTTATGCTGCAGAGTTGAGAGGAAGGAAGGAGCTTCTTCGGAGGAGGTGGGGGGAAGTCTAGTCACCCCGATGCTGAATTTGAGATGATAATAGGATTTACACCTAGGAAAGGCCAGCGGCGCATCTGTGATATATGTATGCCACTTGGGATTAAAAATACAAGCTTCGCAGATGAACATAGGGGAAGGGAAGGAAAAAGATAAAAACAGGGAGGCAAACCAGAAGTACAGAGAAGAAACTGAGGGTTGCTGGAGGGGAGGTGGGTGGGGGCATGGGCTAGATGGGTGATGGGCATTAAGGAGGGCGCTTGGGGGGATGAGCACTGGGGGTTCTAGGTAGGTGATGAATCACTGGGGTCTACTCCTGACACCGACAATACATGGTAGGTTCGCTAACTTGAATTTAAAAACAAATAAATAAAAATACAAAAAAAAAAAACCTTGCAAGTTTCAGAGGAGTCGACCTCTAATACATGGAAACAAACGGATTCTCTCCTCCGGTGGGGAGGCAATGAAATGTCGGGGGGCCCAGCCCCGTCTCGAGGGAACACTCGCATTCATGGGGTTGGAGGCAAGGGAAGAGGAGGGAGGTGACCGTGCTTGGCAGAGAGAAGGGTAGCGCGTATACTGTCATGGAAACCGAGTTAGCGTGTTTGTGGGAGGAACCGGCAGGCGGTGTCCTGTGGCAGTGAGAGCATCAGCCAGATCGGAGTGGAAAGGACGCTGGATTTAGCAATAAAACCTTCCTCGGTGACCTTTGGAAGAGCAGTTTCCTTAAAGGGAGCGTGGCAGAAACCGAGTCGCGGGGGACGATGGAGAAGAAGGAAGGGAGTGTCCCTCCCGAGGATCCGTCATTCTGGAAAGTAACCGAAGGAAAGAAGCAGGATTGCTGTAGGGACTCGGGAGCCAGCGTGTTTTTCTCTACAGGTTTTAGATTCTCTTCTTGACAGAAGCCTTTGTTTCTCTGCTTCCCACCCTGTAACATTTTCCCCCAACAACAGAGAAAAATCCGTGTCCACCTGAGATCACGACTGACCTTTCTATCCAGCAGCTATTTCAGACTCTAAGTGCCACACTGCAGGCTGCCGGCTGGCGCCTCGTCCCCTTCCCCACGCTGGCAGGGTCCCAAGTGCACCTCTGTCCAGGAGCCTGGGCACCACGGCGTCTGTCCTTGATCTCACTCTGTTCCCAGTTTCCGGGTTCGTCTGTAAAAGACGATCCCTGACCACTGTGTCACCTTTCGGGTTCGGTCCTCTACCTGGACCCCACGACCTCCGTGAAATCTCACCTTGGAATTCAGAGTTGCACCCGAAAGCCGCCTCCTCCAGGATGTCACCGGGTTTACTGAAGTGGCATCTGGGGGAGGAGATGGAAACAGAAGAGCAAATACGGCGGCGGGGACGCGGGGTAAGGGTGCTGAGCGTTGAGAGGAGGTTCCTTCTCTGTGCCGGAATGTGCTCCCTGGCTTCGGAGGCCGAGCGCCCGCGGGGACGAAGCCCGGGAGGCTCCTCGCTCGGGCGGTGGGAAGAGGCCTTGGCTGGGGCCGCCGTGCCTCGCTCTTGCCCTCTCGTCTGCCCCGACCCCGTTTCTGCCCACCACCCAGATCCAGGTCAGAGCAAGAATTTTCTCA